CCAGGCATAGAACGAATACGGATAAAGATGATGTAAGATGACATTAAAATTGAGAATCTCTGCTTATCAGAAGACATCATTAAGACAAGGAAAAGGCAAAACACAACCTGAGAAAATTTACTTGCAACAAATATACCTGATAAAAGACTCATATCCAGAATATAAATCTGACAAAAGGATTCCTACAAAACAATAAGAAAAAGGCAAATAGACAATCCAGAAGAAAAACAGATTAGACATGAACAGGCACTTAACAAAAGATGTCCAAATGACTAATAAGCATATGATAAGGTATTACATTTTACTTATCATCAGAGAAATGTAAATAAAAACCTCAATATACATCACTATATACCTACCAGAATATCTAAAATGAAAATAAAGATAGGCAAAATGAAGTGTTGGTGAGGATGAGATATAAATGGAACTCTTAAACACCGTTGATACAAGAAAAAATTGGTGAAATTACATTGGAAAATGTTTAGCAGAGGTATGGGTTGAATTACATATCGCCAAAATTCATATGCTGAAGTTCAAACCCCCAGTACCTCAAAATGTGACCTTATTTGGAAATATGGTCACTGCAGACATAATTACTTAAGATGAAGTCATTAGGGTATCACCAATGTACCGAATATGACTAGTGTCCATACAAAAAAGGCAAATTTGGACCTAGAGACATAAACAGAGGGAAGATAATTTGAATAGAAATAGGAAGAAAACAGTAGCCTACAAGTCAAGAAGACAGCCCTGGAAAAGACAATTCCTTCACAGCTCTCAAGAGGAATCAACCCTGCCAACACCTTAATTTTGGACTGCTAGCCTCCAAAACTGTGGGAAAATAAATTTCTGTTGTTTAAGCCACCTAGTTGCAGTATGCTTTTATGATAGTCCTAGCAAACTAATATAGGCATTATCTACTAAAATGGAATACACGCACACTCTATGATCCAACAATTCTTCTTCGTAGATACACATCAAAGTGTGTATATACGTTCACCAAAAGATTTGTATAAGAACATTCACATCATTACTATTTTATGAGCCCCAAACTAGAAATAACCCAAATGCTCCACAGTAGCATGAATAAATTATGGTATATTCACAAGATGGAATTTTACATGGCAATGAGAATGAACGAACTACAACCACATACAAAAACATAGATTGATCTCACAATAATGTTGAGAAAAACAAGATACAAAAGAATATACAATTACAATAATATAGTTGAACAGGCAAAGCAATCTATAATGTTAGAAGTCAGGATAGTGGTTACTTTTCGAGAGAAAGGAAGTAGTAACGATTGGAAGGGATAAGAGGGAGGTTTCTGTGATGCTGGCAATGTTCTATTTCTCGATCTTGGTGATGCTACACTGTGAAAATTCCTCAAGCTGTACATTCACAATCTGTATACCTTTGTCCATGTAAATTACGTATCAGTAAAAAATAAAATAAAAAGTACTTTAAAAAAACTGAATAGGTTGGTTAAACAGCATATTAGACCAGCTGGTTATGAATTGTATAAGAGAACTTGAAAACAGTCATAATGTAATAAACAGAAAATATATAAGAGACATTAATAGAGGCATAGGATGAAAGAAAAAGGTCAAGTATAAATCTAACTGGAATTGCAGCAGACAAAACAAATGGGGGAGAAGCAATATTTGAAGAGGGAATAGCTGAGAATCTCCTAGAATCAACAAACACAAATCCCAGATTTAAAAGGCACAATAATCCTAAACAGGATAAATAAAAAGAAAACCATACTGAATAAAGTATAGTGAAACTGCAGAACTCCAAAGACGAGAAAATCTTCAAGTCAGATGATGCACAAAGGAACAAAAATTGGACGGATTTTTTTTTTATTTAAAAAAATTTCAAACTCACAGAAAAGCAAAAAAGAATAATTCAATGAGCATACCCCGCAGATTATACCACTCACCAATGAAGACACCCACCAGAATATACTACTCACTAAATTCACACTGTTAACATTTTGGCTCATCCACTCAAAATGTTTCTGAACATAAGTCCTTCCCTTTTGGGAAAATGTAGAAAGTATAGCACTAACAATAGCACTATTGTTATTGTCTGAAAATTCTTTATCATGCATTTATTAGAAACAAGAACATTCTTCTATTCAATGACAACACCATTACCTCATCTAAGATAATCAACATTAATCCAATAACATCATCTAAATAGAGTCCAGATGAAATTTTCCCAGTGATCTTAAAAGCGTTCCCTAAAGTTTTTCTTTTTACTGATCCAGGATCTAACCAAGGCTTGTGCATTACTTTTAGATGGTATAGTTATTAGGTCTCTCTCAATTTAGAGACTTTCCTTGATACACTACTTCCTTTGATTTTGATGACACTGAATCCTTTGAAGAGTCCAAGTCAGTTGGCATGAAAAAATGTTCTACATTCTGGATTAGTTGGACAGTTTCACCATGATTCCCAGATCAAATGTTTCCAGTAAGAACACCACATAAGGTAATGTTATGTCTCTTCTGTGCACCACATTAAGCATGTGGCTGTCCCACTATTAGCAATACCAAGCTTGGCCATTTTGTAATTTTTCCCTTTGTAATAAATAAGTCATCTGTAAGGTGCTATTTTGAGACTCAGGGGTATATTATCAATGACAATTATGGAAGCCAGAAGACAGGAGGATACAACCTTCTAAGTGCTAAGAAAAAAATAACTATTAAAGCAGACCTATATTGCCAACGAAAATATTACTGAAGAATGAACTCAAGATAAAATATATCCTGAAATTATTTTTAAATCCTGAAATTATTATTTCATGGTCAAGTAAACAAAAAACTTGATGGGAAACATTTCCAAGTTTTCATTTGCCAAATAATATAATAAAAACTTTCCGCAACTAACATCATGTTTTCAGAAAAGAAGACAATTCTAAGCCTCCAAAAAAGAAGACTTAAGCTCAAAATAAATGAAGGTTCTCTAAAATGAATGAATTTTGCTTTATGAACAGCACAGTTTTTATTTTCTCATTTTGCTACATGTATCCATATTTTGTTAGGACTGGTTAACAGTCCAGGGACAAGTGTTTGGAAATTACTAAGTCTAGCTACGAAAAAGGGAAAAGGCATTTTATTTCACCATTATGAAGAACTCGGTCTTCTTTTCTTACCACAGTAATTAGGATTATAAAATCCATTTTATAGTTAATGAATCTGAAGTATGAATTGTTAAAGAAGCATGCACAGCATCACAGAGATAGTAAGTGGCTCAGATTTAAACCAAGTCTAAACCTAAAGCGTATGTTCTTTCTACTCTGCCATAGTGAGAAGCCCAACCACACAAAATATGAAGTACCTAAAGGAGCTAAAGGCTGTCAAATGGCAGTTTAAAATGTCATTTGTGACTGAATCTTCAGGAATTTGAGGTTAACAATGTGAATATGAAAGAGTACAACTTTTCTAACTCCATAAAAGCAATGGAAATCTACAGAAGTGATGTCTAGGGTGGAGAAACTGAGAAGATGCAGGTGTAAGGTGAAAAACACCAGGTATATAACCTTAAGTGTCAACTAACAGTTATAAATACAAATGTGTACAATATAAACAAACTACTAATACATGAATCTCAATAAGACTACAACAATTTAAAAAAGTTTTTCATAAACAGCACATACAACTGGATTCCAGTTATATAAACCACTAAAAACAGGCAAAATAAAAAACATCAGATCAATGTGAGAGTGGGGACTGACTCAGAAAGGGAATGAAGTAACTTTCTAGGATGATGGGTTTGGGTTATAAAAGTATATGCATTTGTCAAGGTTTGTACATTTCATTAATTAAATCACAACAGAAAAAAATCTGTAAACAAATATGAATTCTGGTTAATCATACATATACTTAAGTATATGTGAGAAAGTATAATAATGTCTGTAATTTACTTTGAAATAAATGAAAATAATAAAATGGACTGATGGGGTAGAAGGATAGACGGATGGATTAATAGATAAATACGTGATAGACCAAGCATGGCAAAATGTTAATAATAAACTGCGTGTGTTGACTCTACCAAGCATTTACTCTAACATTCTTTCAATTTCGTTACATGTTTTTTAAATTGTTCATAATAAAATGTTGAAGAGAAAGTATATGATATATGTGACTGTGGAACTAAGACAATGCTATCCTTAAAAATATAGAAAACCATATAATGGCCCAATTTGATGGAAGAGATCATATAACTATCATGAAGTTTGAAAGAAGTAAAGAAATACAGATAGTACTATAAGGTACTCATAAGACACACCCAGAAGTTGCTAAATCTAAGGTGAAAAATAAAATGAAAATACAATGGATGGGTGCAGTGGCTCATGCCTGTAATCTCAGCACTTTGGGAGGCAAGGCAGAAGGATCACTTGAGCCCAGGAGTTTGACCAGCCTGGGCAACATGGTGAAAACCCATCCCTAAAAAAAACAAAACAAAAACAAAAGTTACCCGGGTGTGGTGGTGTGCACCCCATAGTTCCAGCTATTCAGGAGGCTGATGTAGCAGAATCACTTAAACCCAAGAGACAGAGGTTGCAGTGAGCCAAGATCATGCCACTACACTCCAGCCTGGGTGAAAGGGCAGAGTCTGTTAAAAAAAAAAAAAAAAAAAAATTCCTTCTGGTAAGAGACCAAAAAAACAAAAAACGATGGAAATAAGTTGAATTAGTTTCATGTGAAAGCAACATTCTAGAAAACTGTCAATATATGAGTTGCTGAGAATATCTGATAACCGAAATGATTAAGATAACTGAACATACTTTCTCTTAAGAAATCACAATTGGTTCGGCATATTTCAACATGAAGTATAAGTCAACCATAGTAAATGGATAAAGCTAACTTAGTCACAATCAATTCTACCAAAAAAAGATTGTTTGAAAAGAATAGTTTGAACAGAACTTTGTTTTTAATACACTTGCCAGGAATTTAACATTTTTAGCATGTCTTAAAAGAAGAATTTTACCTGCCATTTCTTTTGAGGGCAAAAATGATGCCATCTTTCTGGAATGGAAGCAGCTTTGCTCTTAGTCTGTCAGGCAAAAAGTCCAGCAGTTTATCAGATTCACTTGTCACACAAGAAATGTGAGGTGTGAGAGACTTTTTTATGTTATGAACCCTAGGCATGATGATCCTAAAAAACAAAGAAACAACAAAAAAGAGAGGGGTATAAGAAACAGATATTACTAAGTATGTTACAGAATCACATATAAATAATATTAAAGCACTTATTAATAGCTTTGACATACCATTTATATAAACTAAATCATATTCTCACAGTAAGCTACTAAGAAAATTCACAGCACTGAGTTTGAAAACAATCACTTAATGCACTCTCTAGGAACTCAGCATGCACTATTTCAAGCCCTAATACCATACACCAGCTTAACGCCACAAATGTATTACTAATAAATTACAAATAAAACTACATTTTCCACAAATTGGATAATTTTTAAAATAAGGGATGAATCTGCTAGAGAAAGATGAGTCCTTTAATAATTTATCCTTTTATGGATCCACATTTTCATATCACACCAGATTTTCTAAGAGTGAGGTAAAGCTGCATTTTAAAAAGTTATAAAATACAAAGACATTAACTACAAAATCAAATTTATCGTAATTAAATTAATTATTAAATTGTTTAAATATTAAAATCAATTTTTTAAATGAGCTGAATCCACAGTATAACTCTGCCTGATTAACACCTTCCTCACCCCCTGGTTTTCCACAGATGTTATTTTAATTTTCTATGACATAAAAATTTCATATATCTGTAAATTCTTATAAATTAAATCATATTCTCACTGGAAGAAAATGTCCTATTATACCACTACACTACAATACCTATCAAATAATAATATTTTGTATTTAGATGGTACCCTGCCTTCTGTTTATATATTATCTCATTTCATCTTTTAAAAAAAGTTTGCGGGCCAGGCGCAGTGGCTCACGCCTGTAATCCCAGCAGTCTGGGAGGCCAAGGTGGGTGGATCACGAGGTCAGGAGTTCGAGACCAGCCTGGCCAATATGTTGAAACCCTGTTTCTATTAAAAATACAAAAATTAGCTGGGCGTGGTGGCACTCACCTGTAGTCCCAGCTATTTAGGAGGCTGAGGTAGCAGAATCGCTTGAACCCAGTAGGCGGAGGTTGCAGTGAGCTGAGATCATACCACCACACTCCAGCCTGGGCAACAGAGTGAGATTCCATCTCAAAGAAAAAAAATTTGCTTTTTTCCTCAATTACATGCAGACTTATGTAACTATAACTCTCTTCCATCCAAAAAAGTAACCAACTTCTGTGTCTGCTAAGGTTGAGAATAAAGCAAGTGTTTATTTATTAATAACAAATAGGTACTACATGCCACAACCTAGAGAAGCAAGACCCACACACTCATAAGGCTTATATTCTTCAGGGGAAGACTAAAAATTAGCAAATAAATAAACATGATGGTTTTTCTTTTTTGTTTTCAGCTGCACCTGATCGAATGGGAAGGATGATTAATTATAATACAGCACAAATAGTGTAAGGAATTTAAGAGAGTACTGGTCACTTTAGGTAGGCTGACCAACAGTGGCCTGTCTTAGGAAGTGCTATTTGGCTTATGGTCTGAAAGATGTAAAAAGCCACCCAGGATCAAAATTAAGAGAAGAGCAGTCCAAGTAGAGAGCATCAGTGCAAAAGACCCAAATTGAGAAAGGGCTTGGTGTTTTCAGAAAACAAAAAGAAGGCTAATATGGACCAGGCACAGCGGCTCATGCCTATAATCTCAGCATTTTGGGAGGCCGAGGTGGGCGGATCACCTGAGGTCAGGAGTTCGAGACCAGCCTGGTCAATGTGGCGAAACATTGTCTCTACTAAAAATACAAAAATTAGCTGGGTGTGGTGGCACATGCCTGTAATCCTGGCGTGACAATCACTTGAACTCAGGAGGAGGAAGCTGCAGTGAGCTGAGATCACACCACTGCACTCCAGCTTGGATAACAGAGCGAGACTCCATCTCAAAAATAAAGAAAAAAAAAAGCCAATGTGGCTGATGACCCAAAGGAAGGAATGGTATAAGATGAAGCTACCAAGATAAACAAGAGCCAAATCATATACAGCCTTGATAATAACTTTGGATTCCTTTTTAAGAAGGAAGGAATGCTAATGGAGTTTGCTGTCCTATACACCATTAACCAAATGGGACTATTTAAATTTGAAAATTCGGTTCTCCAGTTTCACCAGCCATGTTTCAAGGGCTCAACAGTAACATATGTCTGGTCCAAGCTATGATATTTAATAGTAAAGATACAGAACATTTCTCTCTTCACTCAAAGTTCTATTGGACAGTACTCCATGGAAGGTTTAAACAGGGGAATGACACAATCTGACTTACATTTCAAAAAACACCTGGAGGAGACAAAGATATTAATAAGGAGCCAGGAGATAAATATTCTTACAGGATTTGGCCAGTCAACAAAGCCTCCACTGCTTCAGTAGGCAACCGAATTTAGAAATGATTTATGAGTCAGTTCTGTCTGAATAAGGTCCTCATAAACACTTATGAGTGGGCCTCCATAGGACCCTCTCAACACCACCACCCCCATAACAAAACTTAGCAAGGAATAGAGAATGGAGCAAAAAGGGAAAGCATGAAAGCAGAAAAACTGTTTTCAGGTTGCAACAGACAAGGCAAAAAACCTTTAACAGTGAAACTGAAAAGATTCAGAAAGTGTATCAGAGGTAAAGCAAACAGCACCTGCTGATGCAGTACACGTAGAGAATAAGAGAAACGTAGAATCAAAATGTGGACCTAGAGTGATGGAGTGAGTTCGTGATGCAATTGGCTGGGATAGTGAGGACTACAGAATAAATAAATAGGGGAGAAAAATGATCAATAGATATCCTTTGAGATGGTTATAAGATACGAAGTGGAAATGTCAGGTATGCTTGAAAATATATGAGCCTAAGTTCCTATAGGGAGAGATAGAGGCTGGATACACATGAGAAATATCACTTTCCCAGCCTGCCTTGGAGCTACTAATCAGACATGCCTATTGTGGACTTTAGAAAGTCAAAACTCAAAGGAGCAGAGATTAAGTAAAATTCATTCTGGCAAGGCTAACAGCAGCAGAAAACCATGTCCACTTTCCAGAAGTAACAGGAGTTTCAGAAGCACTTTTTAGGGTCAATGGGATGAAGGATGCAATGTTTCAGGGTGGAACACTGGCAAGAAGTAAAAACTTAAAATAATTTTGCTGTTTATCATCTTTATTTAAGACTGCTTTTTTTTTTTTCTTTGCTGGGTGCAGTGGCTCATCACTGTAATCCCAACACTTTGGGAGGTTGAGGCAGGAGAATAGTTTGAGGACAGGAGCTGAAGATCAGCCAGGGCAAATATCGAGATCCTGTTGCTTACAAAAGATCATAAAATTAGCCGGTTGTGGGGGTGCATGCCTGTAGTCCCAACTACTTGGGAGGCTTGAGAGGACTGCTTAAGCCCAGGAATTGGAACTATGATCTTGTCACTGCACTCGGGAGGGGAGGGAAGGGGAGGGGAACGGAAAGGAAAGGAAAAGAAAAGAAGAAAGAGAGAGGGGGAGAGGGAGAATAACAAAACAAAGCAAAATGACTCCTTTGCACTTTACAATTTTACTAAAAATTTTAATAGACACTCCAAAAAAATGTGGTAACTTGGGGTCACTCTGCCGCTTACATGATTTATTTTTATGAGGACTGACTCAGGCACAATATTTGTAAAAATAAACAATGAAACTAAAGTTATATTAATCAAAAATTTGTTTTAATAGTCACAAATAAGAGAAAAAATAGTTATTTAAATGTGAAGATTAAAGAAATCTAAAACATTATGAAAATGTACAGAACAAATTTCAGTTGAACTTAAGATTATAGTGTGGCTCATTGATGATTTAAGTAGATATTTGGATACATAAAGAACTTAAAAACATGTAGTGGTACAATCTAATGAATAGAACATGAATGTTTTTGTTAATCCTAAAAATAATTTTTAAAATATTATTTTCTATTTACAGGATCTAAAGTAAAAAAGGTATAACAACGAATATCTCATGTAGGTTCGGCCACATAGATTTAATTGCTACAAAAAATCAGTTGTAACCAACATTACATTAATAAAAGAAGATGCAGATTTTATCTTCATTCTAGATTACCAAGAAATTAACAGTTATAATAATGTGCATACCTCTTTAATCATGAATACTGTATTCAGTTCACAGGTTTAGCTTAAAAGGTTTTATTCAATATATGTATATTAATTTACTTGCAGTAAGGCGGGGGAAGCCTATCAAAATGAAACCAGCAATACATACTTTTTAAAAAATTTTTCTTCCGAAAAGATTTTAATAATCATTGACCATTTCCAAGAAACACCCACTGCATGCCCATCAATTAAAGAGAACCATAACAAAACAGAAAATTTACCATATGGCTATGACTTAAAGAAAAAATAATGTGGACAGGAGCACATCAGCAAAGTCCATTTAAAGTCACATTCCTTCTTACGGGCTATGAATAGGAGTCTGATTAGACACCAGAATAAAACTTACTACAAATGCTGAACCATTTAGGTCAAAGAACCTCTAGAGAAGCACCTGTCTTCAAAGGGATTCTAGCTTGAGACTCAATTTTAGAATAAGATATAACAGACATGTTAACAGAAGACATACAAGATGATAAAAGAGGGTTTCTACAATTCCCCACATACTCTGAACCTAATACAACAAATCCAGATATTAAAAAATTATTTTTCTTTAAACAACTGCCAAATCTAAAAGATAAACAGAAGGCACAACAGTTTTGTTACGGTTGTTATCTGGGTTTTGGGAATATTTTGTCTTTTGTTTTTTTACAAATACAAATTAAACATGAAAAAACTCTACTTCAAAAAAACTAACAGTTCAAGAAAAGCCTATCTAGTTGCATTCTAGACATTTAAAACCTATATCACAATTGAAATTTCAATGGTAAAAACAGTAGGTTTTAGAACTGTTTTGTGATCCTACATCAGAAGAAAAATTCTATTCCTTTTATTCAGTTTTTAAACATACCAGCGAGAATCAAAATTGTCAAATTTTCCAAATTTTAAACATACCAGTCAGAATCAAAATTGGCAAATTTTCCAAACCCACTGTAAAAACAGGTTTTAGAAATGTTTCATGATCCTATATCAAAATAAAAATTATATTCCTTTTATTCAGTTTTTAAACACTACCAGTGAGAATCAAAATTGTCAAATTTTCCAATGGCGATTTCTCCACACCAGAAAGTGGTCATGACTCTCAAAGAAGAAACAGTTTGGGGTTTTCCTGCCTTCAAAATGTTATCAAATCCTGTATTTCTCACAGGCTTTTGAAAACACAGAAAGTAAGAAATATTCCAATGAATGAAATGTACCAAATGTCAGCAATAACGCAAGACACATTCCTTTGGGGAAATGGCTGTTAGAAAAAAAATCCAGTCTGTACATGCAAAATAAGCAAGGAAATTTGGTCTTTTTTTCTTCTTCTTCTTCTTCTTCTTCTTTAAAAATCCATTACTCCTAAAATATCATTCCACAAAATTGGAAGTGAAAGACTAAAGGCCAGGAAAGGGAAGAGAGGGAGAAGGAGCACACACCATTAACACACAAAAGAAGTAAAATTATACTAACTAAAGCAGTTTATAACAAACTGGGGTCATACTCCAAGATACCAAAGGCTGGTCGAAGAAATTCACCATTCTGTAGGAACTAGGGTTCATACGGCCCCCTGAAGATCCATGAAGATTCACTGCCGTGGAGCAAGCCACCTTCCCACTCCAAATCCTGCTTTCTGTACCATGCCTCCACAGGGAGGGCCTCTCATTCCACCACCCAGCCCACCTAAAGGGCCTCCAGGTCCACAAAGGCGATCATCTCGTGGGTCCCCTTCCCTGGCAGCTCGAGTCTTCTTCTCTTCCACAATGAGACGGACCTCACCTCTGAACATGATGGACCTGTTGCTAAGGACCTTCTGAACAGGCTCAGAATCATCAAACATAACAAAATCAAAATTGGGTAATTTCCCACCACTGTTAATGTGCAACTCCACCATGTTCCCATAATTTTGAAAGAAATCTTTAAGCTCTGATTTGTCTACTTTATGAGGCAGGTTGCCAATGAAGAGTTGGTGACTGTCAGGGTGTCTCACCATTCTTCGGGGTTCAATGTCACCTTGCTCACCAGCCTCACAGATTGGTCTGGGTCCCTTTTGGAGAGGAATATTTATTCGTTGTTCTCGTATTCTTTGATCCCTTTGAGGTCTCTGTGGTGGAACCTGAGATTCAGGCTTAGACTCTGTACAGGGCTGTGAAGCTAGTACTTTGCAAACATGAGGAGGTATCCCAGTAACTGGAACAGCTCCACTGGGTGGAAGGTTGTTACTGGTCACAGATGCCCAAGAAAATGTCCTCAAGTCTTCCTATACTGTCTGAGATATGTCTGCAGGTGCTAGAGAACTCTTCTGAGCATCCTCAGGAGCAGTTTCTTCTAATACAAGCTCAAACTTTTCCTCTTGGATTTCAGATACATGTTCTTGTTCTGGTTCTGGTTCAGGATCAGGCTCCAGTTCAGCAACTGGCTCCTCTAAATGTTCTTCCATGTCATTACTGACAATTGCCTGATCATAGAAAGTTCCAGAATCAGAGGTGATTGCTGTCTTTCTTCAGGTTCCTCTACTTCTTCTTCAGACTCCTCCTGAGGCTCAGTGACAAACCCATCTTGGTGTCTGAGGATATCATTATGAACATAGAACTGATATGCAATAGACCCCTCAGGAGCAAGTACAAACATCTGCATGAATCTCCTCAAAGCCTGGTTGTTGTTAGAGAGAAGCACCATCACCTGGACTACCACACCATCATTTAGCATAGCATAAGCATCAACATGGAGAATCTTGGTGTGGCAGTTGGTGAAGTTTTGTGACATCACTTTCCTGTGGATTTCTTTCTGTCAAAGACTGCATCTGCTGGCTTTCCATTTGAATCCAATCCCCCATGGACATGAGAAGAGTTCTTTCCATAAAATCTATGCAGCATGTCTAGGGCCTGGTTCACCAGTGCGTAATGCTGTCTCACAAATTTCCACCCAACCAGCAGGGGAGTAGGCTTCTCCATCACCATTGCTTTGGTCAATTCAACCTGGGGGGAAAAGTCAAATATGTCCAAACCTGCGCGGCTGAGAGGGAGAGGAACTAGCTCTGCTACACAGCACTGATGATGGCAGAAACCCCTCACGCAACTGTGTCTGCACCAGCAATACATTATTTTTAATACCATGTTATTAAAATCAAAATGACAATATTGGCTAGGGAAATTTAGTGAAAGCAAAATCTAGTAGAACTTATTTTCTAAGCAATTCGCTTGGTAAGCAACACTTGAAAAAAAGAATAAAGGAAGTATTTATTTTCCATCTTTTAGGTCAAGACAGTGTTTTTGTACTCAATTGAGAACAAGGCAAATTCAACTGGAATTCACTGACTCATTTAAGTAAATAGTAGAATTGTATTGAGGAGAATCAGATATTGTTAAAACACACGACCTAGAGACTTATTTTGGAAATAACAAGTAAATGGCTGGTGAAGACAACTATATACACTTTGGGGAGATAATTTTTTTTTTAATTAAGAATGTATTGGATGAAATTTACTGCAGAATAGATAAAAAATTAGTAAATTAGAAAAGATATTAAATGTAAATGGACTAAAAACAAATGAAAAGATTCCTATATTAAATTAAAAAATATATAAATTTACATGCTGCTTTTAAAAGACATATCCTTAAATAGAAGGATTCATAAACATTGAAAGTAAAAGAATTAAAAAAGACATACATGCCAAAGTATAGCTGGTATTGCTTTACATTATAACATAGGTTTCAGGCAAAAAAAAAAAAATTATTAAAATAAACAAGAGCATTTTATAATGATAAAATATTTATTAGAAAAATTTAGCCACGAAATATATCTTAATAAATATACACGGCAAAAACTGATAAAAGTAAAAGGAAAATTTGACACAACCATATCTATCTATAACCACAGTGGAAAAGTTTAACACATGTCTCTCAGTAATTGATTATGCAAGCTGATTAAAATTGTAACAGGATAAAGATGATTTCAAGAACACAATAAACAAATCTGACCCATTTGGTGCAAAGACAGGAGTATTATTTTCAAGCTCATTGTGTGAAGCCAGCCTAAACAATCTCACAAGCACATTACAAGAAAAAACATACATACTACAATCTCTCATATTCATAGGTAAACAAAATATTAGCAAACCGAATATAGCAGTAACTAAAAGACTAAGACACCAAGACTGAAGTGGGCTTATTTCAGGAATGCACAGCTGATTACACTTTCAAGATTCAATCACTGACAAGCTGATCCTAAAATTCATATGGAAATGCAAGGAACCCAGAATAGCCAAAACAATCTTGAAAATGAACAAAGCTAGAGGACTTCTACTTCCTGGTTGTAAAATTTACTACAAAGTGATAACAATCAAGACAGTGTAGCACTACTAGCATAATGACAACCAGCTAGGTCAACGGAACAGAACTGAAAGTCCAGAAATGAGCCCTTACAGTCAATTGAGTTTTGACAAGGGTGCTAAGAGGATTCAATAGGCAAAGAGTAACTTTTTCAACAAATAGTGCTCAGACAACTAGATGTCCGTATAAAAGAATGAAATTAAACCCCCACCTCAGCTGCATATGAAAATTAACTTGAAATGGAACAAAGATTAAAACATAACAGCTAAAAAATAAAAATAAAAAAATAACAGCTAAAACTATAAAACTTCAAGGGGAAAACACAAGAGCAAATCTTTGTAATTTTGGGTTATGGTATGGCTTTAGATAACACTAAAAGCAAAAACATGAAGTCTTTGCACATGCCTATGTCCTGAATGGTATTGCCTAGGTTTTCCTCTAAGGTTTTTATGGTTTTAGGTCTTATGTTTAAGTCTTTAATCCATCTTGAGTTAATTTTTGGATAAGGTGTAAGGAAGGGGTCCTGTTTCAGTTTTCTGCTAGCCAGTTTTCCCAACACCATTTATTAAACAGGGAATCAATAGGGAATCCTTTCCCCATTTCTTGTTTTTGTCAGGTTTGTCAAAGATCAGATGGTTGTAGATGTGTAGTATTATTTCTGAGGCCTGTGTTCTGAGCTATATATCTGTTTTGGTACCAGTACCATGCTGCTTTGGTTACTGTAGCTTTGTAGAATAGTTTGAAGTCAGTAGTACGATGCCTCCAGCTTTGTTCTTTTTGCCTAGGATTGTCTTGGCTATGTGGGCTCTTTTTTGGTTTCATATGAAATTTAAAGTAGTTTTTTCTAAGTCTGTGAAGAAAGTCAAAGGTAGCTGGATGGAGACAGCATTGAATTTGTAAGTTACTTTGGGCAGTATGGCCACTTTCACGATACTGATTCTTCCTATCCATGAGCATGAAATGTTTTTCCATTTGTTGTGCCCTCTCTTATTTCCTTGAGCAGTGGTTTGTAGTTCTCCTTGAAGAGATCCTTCACCTCCATTGTAAGTTGTATTCCTAGGTATTTGATTCTCTTTGTAGCAATTGTGAATGAGAGTTCAAAAATGTTTTGGCTCTCTATTCTAGTGTATAAAAATGCTTGTGATTTTTGCATACTGATTTTGTATCCTGAGACTCTGCTGAAGTTGCTTATCAGCTTAGGAAGATTTGGGGCTGAGATGATGGGGTTTTCTAAATATACAATCATGTCATCTGCAAACAGAGACAATTTGACTTCCTCTCTTCCTATCTGAATACCTTTTCTTTCTTTCTCTTGCCTGATTGCCCTGGCCAGAACTACCATACTATGTTGAATAGAAGTGGTGAAAGAAGGCATCCTTTGTGCCGGTTTTCAAAGAGAATGTTTTCAGCTTTCACCCATTCAGTATGATATTGGCCGTGAGTTTGTCATAAATAGTTATTATTTTGAGATACATTCCATTAATACCTAGTTTATTGAGAGTTTTTTTCAGCATGAAGGGATGTTGAATTTTATGGAAGGCCCTTTCTGCATCTATTGAGATAATCATGTGTTGTCATTGGTTATGTTTATGTGATGGATTACATTTATTGACTTGCGTATGTTGAACCAGCCTTGAATCCCAGGGATGAAGCCAACTTGATCTTGGTGGATAAGCTTTGTGATGTGCTGCTGGATTTGGTTTGCCAGTATTTTATTGAATATTTTCGCATCGATGTTCATCAGGGATACTGGCCAGAAATCATCTTGTTTTGTTATGTCTCTGCCAGGTTTTCGTATCAAGATGATGCTGGCCTCATAAAACAAGTAGGAGTCCCTCTTTTTCTACTGTTTGGAATAATTTCAGAAGGAATGGTACCAGCTCCTCTTAGTACCTCTGGTACAAATTCAGCTGTGAATCTGTCTGGTCCTGGGCTGTTTTGGTTGGTAGGCTACTAATAGTTCTCTATTTCCTTCAATTCTGCTCTGATCTTAGTTATTTCTTATCTTCTGCTAGCTTTTGAATTTGTTTGTGATGTCAGGGTGTCAATTTTAGATCTTTCCCGCTTTCTCCTGTGTGAATTTAGTGCTATAAATTTCCCTTTAAACGCTGCTTTAGCTATGTCCCAGAGATTCTGGCACATTGTGTCTTTGTTCCCATTGGTTTCAAAGAACTTATTTCTGCCTTCATTTCGTGATTTACCCAGCAGTCATTCAGGAGCAGGTTGTTCAGTTTCCATGTAGTTGTGGGGTTTTGAGTGAGTTTCTTAATCCTGAATTCTAATTTGATTGCACTGTGGTCTGAGAGACTGTTTGTTATGATTTCCGTTCTTTTGCATTTGCTGAGGAGTGCATTACTTCCAATTATGTGGTCAATTTTAGCATAAGTGTGATGTGATGCTGAGAAGAACGTATATTCTGTTGATTTGGGGTGGAGAATTCTATAAACATCTATTAGGTCTGCTTGGCCCCGAGCTGAGTTCAAGTTCTGAATATCCTTGTTAATTTTCTGTCTCATTAATCTGTCTAATATTGACAGTGAAGTGTTAAAATCTCCAAATCTCCTACTACTACTGTATGGGAGTCTAAGTCTCTTTGTAGGTCTCTAAGAACTTGCTTTATGAATCTAGGTCCTCCTGTATTGGGTGCATATATATTTAGGATAGTTATGTCTTCTTGTTGCATTGATCCCTTTACTATTATATAATGCCCTTATCTCTTTTGATTTTCGTTGGTTTAAAGTCTGTTTTACCAGAGACTAGGATTGCAACTCCTGTTTTTTGTGTTTTTTTTTCTTTTTTCTTTTGCTTTCCATTTGCTTGGTAAATATTCCTCCATCCCTTTATTTGAGTCTATGTGTGTCTTTGCATGTGAGATGGGTCTTCCAAATACAGCACACCGACAGGTCTTCACTCTATCCAGTTTGCCAGTCTGTGTCTTTCAGTTGGGTCATTTAGCCCTTTTACATTTAAGGTTAATATTGTTATAGGTGAATCTGATCCTGTCATTATGATGCTAGCTGGTTATTTTGCCCATTAGTTGATGCAATTTCTTCATAGTGTTGATGGTCTTTACAATTTGGTATGTTTTTGCAGTGGCTGGTACCAGTTGTTTCTTTCCAAGTTTACTGCTTCCTTCAGGAGCTCTTGTAAGGCAGGCCTGGTGGTGACAAAATCTCTCAGCAATTGTTTGTCTGCAAAGGATTTTATTTCACCTTTGCTTATGAAGCTTAGTTTGGCTGGATATGAAATTCTGGGTTGAAAATTCTTTTCCTTAAGAATGTTGAATATTGGACCCCGCTCTCTTCTGGCTTGTAGGGTTTCTGAGAGATCCGCTGTTAGTCTGATGAACTTCCCTTTGTCACCCGGGTAACTCAATCTTTCTCTCTGGCTGCCCTTAACATTTTTTCCTTCATTTCAACCTTGGTGAATCTGACAATTATGTGTCTTGTGGTTGCTCTTCTCAAGAAGCATCTCTGTGGTGTTCTCTGTATTTCCTGAATTTGAATGTTGGCCCGTCGTGCTAGGTTGGGGAAGTTTTCCTGGATAACATCCTTAAGTGTGTTTTCCAACTTGGTTCCATTCTCCCTGTCACTTTCAGGTACACCAATCAAAAATAGGTTTGGTCTTTTCACAGAGTCCCATATTTCTTGGAGGCTTTGTTCGTTCTTTTCATTCTTTTTTCTCTAACCTTTTTTTGAAGTTCTTAGCTTCCCTGCCTTGGGTTAGAACATGCTCTTTAAGCTTGGAGGAGCT